ATCCGACGAAGTCGTTTGCGAGGTGGCAGGGGACATCCAGAGCAAGCTTCCTGCGGACTTCCACATTGAAGCAGCAATGAGGAGATACCCGACAGCCTACACCCAGAGCATGAACACGGTGCTCGTCCAAGAGATGGGTCGATTTAACAAACTACTGCAAACAATCCGGGAGTCCTGCATCAACATTCAGAAAGCAGTCAAGGTGAGTGCTCCTCCAGGGAGGCGTGTTCAGTCAGAGCAGGCCAGCAAGAGGAGCTGTCAGCTCCCATTAACTTCACGGGCGCCTCTGGGAACTTGCCGCATTGCTCTTTTAGTCTGTGGTGTCATCATCATTCCCGATCTCTGCCTTTAGCTGCCATTTGTGAGCACCACTTCCAAACTAATGTGCTGTGCCACGCTGCATTATGTATTGCTGCTGATGCAAAAATGCCGTAAAGGAACGAGAAGTCTGCCCTGCGTTTGAACGGTCCAAGGCGTCTCTACTTTTCCAACAATCTATACCCCACCATGCAGCTGGGAGGCCTCTTAGCAGGGGATGGTTGAAAAATGTGCTCCATAGAGCTGTACCTCCTGAGGCCAAACATAGACCTGGGTATGTTTTGCAGTCAATTCACCGAGTTTCAGATTTTACAGTAGGTTCTGCAGAGAAGTGCCTGTTAATGTGCATGCGGTTGAAAGCTGGACCAAAACAGTGCATGCATTTCTAAAATGTGCATATGCTTATGCCAAATGTATCATGTGAAACATTTGCAGATTTCTGTGTGGGAAGGAAAGCCCTGTACAGAAGCAGGATGGAATGAGCTTGGCAGGGGGCAAAAAAATCATCAAGCTCATACGATCCCTTCTCTTGATAGTCCATGTGTTAGCTGCTCTGGCAGCTTTCCCCAACCTCCTCAATGTTTCAGAAATGTGGACCATACTAGCAGGAAAAGATAGTTGTAGTCAAAAACACGTGCGTAGCAGTGAACACAGAACTAGCAACCGTGAAGTCCCTGGTTTAGATTGTGCCTATAGTTAGGTAGTTTATTCATATTAATTCAAATGCATTTTATTCCACCTTTTCTCAGTTTGCGTTATCCCAGAGCGCAGGAGGCTATTGCTGGCAATTGATGGCCCTTACCACACTGAAAGATGAGCAGGTGTACAACCCCCCCCCCCCCCCCCCCCCCCCCCCCGTGTCCCAGGATCATGTTGTCAGAGCAGACAGGCAGATGGAGTTGGCGTCTGTGTTTGCCACACAGTCTGGGCCCTGGGTCTGCATCTCTGCCGCAAGGTCTGTTGTTGCCGGTAAACACCCTTTTTAGAGGAGGCAGCTGAGGGCCACGCAAGCTTCCACTGAGGGCCTGTGAAAGAGACGTGTCATTGTCCACAATACATTTGAGTGGTCTTAGCTGGAAACTGTAGGGAATAACGTACCAGGGACAGTTTTTTCCTTTGAAAACTGACTTAATATGTGCCAAGAGGGTTGGATGCATGACTGGTGCTTCATTATGTGTTAGTAGTATGTAATGTAAGGCACAATATTACAGCCATTTATACAGGGCTTCATGTAAGTCTGACGTGAGTGGAGTGATAGGGACTGATGCAAAGAGAACTGTGAAATGAAGTGCTATCGCAGCCACATCATCAGCGCTGGAAAGCCACACGTACTGGTGCAGCACCGCTGTTGCGGGAAGTTAACTCGACAAGCTCGTCCCCTGACAGGGCTGAAGGGGGCTGCTTTATGCCTGCCAGAGCGGCTGTAGCTGACTGAGGTCAGTGTGTTGAGGGCAGGTTGATCAAAAGCATGGCGAGAACTGAGGAAGAGGCTCCGGTAACATGCTATTTCCCTTGTCCATCCATCAACCAGGGTCTGGTGGTAATGTCTGCAGAACTGGAAGAGGTGGTAAATAGCATTCTGACAGGCAAAATCCCAGGCATGTGGATGAAAAAGTCCTACCCGAGCCTCAAGCCCCTTGGCAGCTACGTGAATGATTTTCTCGCGAGGCTGAAGTTCTTACAGGTGAGCACATCTGCTGGGTGAAACGCATCCAGCTTTTTGAGATGACTTTTTTCTTGATCTTTAGTAACAAGTGCATTTTCTTCCCATGCTTAGTGAGAAAGAGGCTAGACTTTTGGGGTAGAATCTACCAAAACACACAACCACAGCAATAGTTGGGCTGCAGTTTAATTCTGGCCCCCGCATGATTGCTCTCTCAGCAAAATGTTTAAGAAAAGCAAAGTGGAGGACTTAGATTATCCTCAACATGCCCCTGGCATAAGCCTGCAGCCCATGTTACAACTTTCTCCTTAGCCTACTCCACCCATAAGAAAGGCCCGCATCTTCAGCCTTTTACCACTTCACTGCATTGCCTAGAATCACCTGTCGAGTGTGGTGACCGGACTGAAGATCCTTAGTAGAAGGTTCTTCTCACACAGCTATCCCTCCGCCCCAAGTTCCACTGGTCTGCTCTGGAGCCTGCAGGCCACACTCCCTGTCGTTCTGGAAGTCACCCCAGAGAAGCCAGGACACCCCCACCCCCAGTCCCATTCTGTCTGTGCTCCTCTGAATGTAATCCTGAGTGCTTAATGCTGCAGTATCAACCTACAATCCTAGATGTTCTTCCTCTCTTGCTGCAGTTGTGGTACGAGAATGGAACTCCTCCTACATTCTGGCTTTCTGGCTTTTTCTTTACTCAAGCCTTTTTAACTGGCGCCCAACAGAATTTTGCCCGGAAATACACCATCCCAATAGATCTACTTGGATTTGACTACGAAGTCCTGGAAGACAAGGAATATAAGCATGCTCCTGAAGATGGTGAATATACAACCAGCTCTTCATTCATTTGTCCACACACAAGCATAAGCACATTTGTACCCTACCCTTGATTTTGGCCAGGAATGGGGAACGCTTGTTCAGCCCAAAGGCAGAATTCCATTTGGGAGCAGCTCTCCTGCCTGCATTCCAGTGGCTGGTGCAGCTGAAGGCAAAAGGGGTATGGACAGGAATACCAAACCAAGCTGCATAGGGTAGCTTAAAGCTCATAGAGTCACTAATGGAACCTTGGGACGTGGTCAGCCTTTTAGATGGGGCTGGGGAAGTGGCACAAATCCCAGGCAGCTGTGAAGGATCCGTAGCTGAGAGACCCTACAAGGACCAGATTAGGATCCCAGGGAGCCTGGATGTTTCCCTCACCTGAGACTTCCTCCTCCAGACAATTGTATGGAGAAATTGTATTCTGCTGCCAGAACCATATCAAATAGGTTGAGAATGTGACTGTCCCAAAGTCATCTAGTGAGCTTCATAGCGGATCAAGGACTTGAATCCAGTTGTTCCTAGACTTTCTCTGCACACTCTCGATGAGACATTTCTAAGTTTGATTGGAATGATGCATTCATACTTAGAAAAACAATTTCAAGGACTAGTATTTGACATAGCAGCAAGTGAATCAGAAGTTAACACCCTTCATAGCAACTACAATTAGGTAGTGGCCCAGCAACTTCTCTGCCAATCTCTTGTATTATGGATGTTTTGCATAGGTTCACGTTGGAAATTCTGTGAGTACTTCCTGTAGACCAGTAATGCCCAGTGGCCCTTTGCATGTAGTGATTACAGCACGCACAGTTGGAAACTAGTGTTTCAATTCCCACTTACATACCAAGATGATTCACAGCTAGTTCGTTCCTCCGTGTGATAGTTGGCATCCAAAAGGCAAGAAATCCATTCCTAATAGATTTCCTTCAACTGCTGCTACCTTTATGATCCAGTATATAGGCTACATGGTATTTATAAGAACCTCACTCCATGTGACCAAACCGTATTATTTCTGTACCAATGTGGGTCTGTTTCTTTCTAAATGCATACAGGTGTCTACGTTCATGGATTGTTCCTGGATGGGGCTCGCTGGAACAGAAAGACCAAGAAGCTAGGGGAATCCTATCCCAAAATTCTGTATGATAGCATGCCGGTGGTTAGTATTTACCCCACAAATTATTAGAATTTACTCAGATGGCCATGTTAAGCATTGTAATGTATAAGGCAGCACTGAACTTAACTTTTAACTTCTGTATAGGACTGGAACAGTCGATGTGAGTTTTAAGTGGACTCCGGGGATGGTGGAGGACAGGAAGGCCTGGAGGAGTGTTGTCCATGGGGTTGCGATGGGTTGGACGTGGCTTTGCAACTAACAATAGGACTGGGCTGCAAGAGGCCTGACTTGCTCAAACTGGTGCAGTACCCAATAATACACTGCACTTTTTGCAGCTGGCAACTTTCTTCCATGAAAACAAAAGGCTTTTCCAAGGTTACGAGTTGCATATGTGGCATTAGACTCATGGTGGCCAATTCATTTCTCCACGCCATTCTTTGTGCTCCTGCAACTCATGGGCACATGTGAACTAGCCCTTGGTCCACAACTGTGTGTTACTTTGTGACAAGTGCGTCTCTCTGTGCTGGTCAATATAATTGATGGACTGAGCTATACAAAAGAAAGCTGCCTCTAAGATTCAAGGATTCATTTCCACAGACCAGTCAGGTAGTTTATAATGCATAGGTGGCCTGAAATGGAATGCTGCATTTTAAGAATAACCCATTGTTTGCTGCCTTTGTCACAGATGTGGTTAAAGCCTTGCAAGAGGTCTGAAATTCCTGATCGACCCAGTTACTTGGCTCCAGTATACAAGACGAGTGAGCGAAGAGGAACTTTGTCCACAACAGGCCACTCCACCAATTTTGTGATTGCCATGATTCTTCCTTCTGATAAACCAGAGGAACATTGGATCGGACGAGGGGTGGCGCTTTTGTGCCAGCTGAACTCATAATCTTGGGGCAGGGGTGGGGGAGGGAGACCAGCCTTGCATCCTACAATTGTTACAATTTTTAAACTGTTTTCTGAAAAAATGCAAATGTTTGGAAGCTTTTAAATTGATTTGATTTGTACCTTTGGGTTTCTAAAAAAAAGATTAAAAAATAAAATTGCTAGGCAGGGGAAAAGACATTAGGAAAAAAACCAACCAGCATGTGTGTTTGTTCAATAATTTTATTTTCTTATGTTCCTTATGAACAAGGAACATTCATAAGATAAACACAACACTGTCGACAATGAACAAAAACAGCATTTAATCACTTCCAGCTTTTTTTTTTTTAAAAATGGATTTTGTTATAACAAAACAACCCAACCCACTCCATCCCACCCCCCAAACAAGAAGCTGATATCTCAAATATCCTTTAGGATCATAATCACATTGTTTCAAACCCTAAGGAAAGAAGTCACACTGCATCCTAGGATACTACAGCATTTTCTAAGCAATAATAATCACAGCTGAGTGGGTGCAGTGTGATTGCCATGGGATGTCACACAGTGACAGCATCTGAAGATACAAGAAACATTTATGCCCTCCCACAGATGCATGTTGCAATGAGACCGGACTCCCACAGAATGGAATGAGAAGCCAGGTAGAAACGCAAGTGGAATCCCCACTGTCCCAAATGTGACTTGCACACCCTTGCATTTCAGCACAGCCTGGGATTCAAATACTTAAGGAAACCGGAGAAGCTTCTTCACCAAGTGTAACAAGCACACCAAGCAAATGAGGGAGCATCCCATCCTGAAGAAAAATACAAACCCGAGCAGTTCTCAACATGGCCTCTGTATTTAACCATTTTTTCTTTTCCATATTCTATTACTGGACGCTAATTTTTCCTTTGTTTCCCTAAGAAAGGCAACATTACTATAGCACATGCCAGCAAAACAAAACAAAACAAAACAAAACAAAAAAGGATACTACCTGAAGTAGAGAACTTCTATTCATAATTACAAAAGCAAACCTTAAAAACCAGGTGTTCCCCCCCCCCACTCCCCTTTCCTGTCTAGCATTCAGCAATGCCATGACTCTTCACAGGTGTTATTAAAATGGAGTCAGACTCCTCAAGCCAGAGCAGGTGAACGTTCCATTCATTCCTTTCAGTGGGAGCTCAGCATCACTTCATCCAGCTTATAGCCGGAAATGTTCAACTAAAAAAAAATTCCACCCTCTCCAGGGAGGAGGGCAAGGCCAAGTAGGGAGGGTCCAATCCATGGTCCTTACAGCTGTGAGAGTCCCAATGATTCAAATTCAAATAAGTTATCTTTGCTTAAAAGGATGCAGGATCCAAATCTGCTTGCAAACACCAACCAGTCGACATTTGGTGGATTCAGAATATTATACAGATTCCCCCCCACCAACAAAAGACACACAACATAACTTTAAAGTAGACAATGATGGTCACATAGAAGAGGAATGTCTAGCGAAAAGATATGGAAGAGTCAGAAAGAAAAGTCTGCATGAACTTGGAATGAAAGCCTTGTTCAGTTTTCTAACCGAGTTCATTTTTAGGAGCTAACTAGTAGGCTAAAACTACAACAGCCAGATAAAACTTAAGCGGTGCTTTACCACTTTAGCTTGTATAGTCAGAGCTGAACAAAGGCAGACTAGCATGCTGGAAGAAACCAACTGCCAGGCTTAGAACTCTTACACTGGACTGGAAGATGAACAGAGCTTGGAGCTTTTCATCAACCCCTAAGATCAGAGCACAAAGACGACCAATCTGCACCTGGCAATACAAGCTGCTTGGCACTACACAAATATTAAAGCTGATTTCTGCAGGTTAAGGCTTTTGGCTCAGCCGCTCCTCCCTGTCCACCTGCACCACAGGTTCACAACTACTTTACTACAGTCCAAAGGTCTGCCCTGGCATTACCTCGTTAGTGTGTCTCCCCTTCCCATACTGCTCCAGTAACATCGGAACCCAGTGGCCAGGTGGGAGACCTTGACCACACCAATGAGATAAAGCTGGCAAGGCCCCCCAACATGACTGCTGCGTTGCAAAACAACAGGAGCCCTAGGTGATAAAATACAACATTAAACAATGCCTGCACATCAAATGCCCTTTATGACAAAACTCACTGGCTTCAAGCGCAGGTGGCAAGGCATTCGAAGTAATACATTCAAAGTGCTCATGGGAATGACGTAAACGGTCTCCAGGACTGCCTTCGAGGGCCTCTGCTGTGATCCAGCGATTAGCCATTCTCAGCCTGGAATTTTAAGGTTTTCATGTGAGAAAAGGAGTTTGGCTGTCACAACTGAAGGGAATCCACAGTGCAGGCTTCACTAGAGGAGCAAAGAAAGAAACCCAAAGCCCAAACTGCTCAGTAGTTCAGGATTTAAGTAGCACCGCTACATAAAACGCTACTGCAGCAAAAGAACCAGCAAGTGTCCACAAGCAGTATTAACTATGACGGTTCGCCCATAAAAGTCTACAAGCTAATATTGAGAACATAATACTTGTTGCTTCCCCCATGGGGCACAAGCCTCTAAGGTTCAATGAGGAAACCTGCAGCTTGCCTTCTTGGACTTCAAGAAGGGTAAGAATACAGAACTTGACCCACATACAGGGGAAGAAGAGGCTCCTAGATCTGCAGTGTTCCCTCCCAGGGGAGCTGCAAAGGGCAGAGCTGCTGGACAAGGGGGAGTGCAAAGCAGCGGCTGCAGGCCAGAGTGCCTGCCGGAGACCCTGTACTGGCAAGCTGATTGGCAAAGGACTGAGCAAAAGGATGCGGGACTGCAGACAGGCCTTGGAACCAGAAGACGACGACGTGGTTTTGCTTTGGTCACCATCCATTCGGCACAGTGCAAAACAGCCGGAAGATTACCAGAGCTGATGCAGGTGAATGCACCGCTCACACGGCCCAAAGGCAATTGATGAATATACCATGCTTTGAGAATTGTTTTTTATATATGTGTGTTTTTTTTTTTAAAGGGAAGCAACCCAACTCAGAATGCTTTCCTGTCGTGCATTGCTAGGTTTATTTTTGTCGAACAGGTAGGGGGCAAGGGAGTGGTGAGTGGCATGAGGGGAAGGGAACCGCTTCAGAGGCCGTGGCAAGTTTCAGACTGTCCGCAGAGGATGCCTTGGAAACGTGCGCTCTGGCTCTCTGCAGAGGGGTGCGTTTCATCACTTGCTCAAGTGTAACACAAAAGGCTTTACCAGCAAGAGATCCAACGTCTGCTGCACACTGCAACAGCAAACTGGAAAATGGCACATTACAGCATCCTCAGGACTGCCGCTGCTTTTCCTGCTTCCGATCCAGGACTGATTTATTTCATCTTGCTTTGTTTTTTTAAGAATCTAGCTCTTACCTTTGGGGTGCCGAACTGCTTTCAAACAGGCCTTCGACTTGTCTGCCTCGGCTAGGAAGCAGGACTGTGTTTGTGCAGCCCTGGAGTACGGTTAACTTCCAAGAGCAGCATGTGCCACTGCTTTGCCTGGGACAAATGTGCATACAGTACAGTACAGCAGTGCCGACTGAAAGCCATACAGTAACATGGTTGTAACCACAGTTTGAAAAGAAATGGAAATGGTCAAAACTGGATGTCCAACACTATTTTGTCTTCATAAAGGGCAATCACCAACATGATGGCAAATCCCAGGAGCAGCCCTAAATTCTGGAGGACGAACTGCCCCACTGGACAGTAGCCGTGCTCTTCGTTATCGCCATCGCCGTGAAGCATCTCCGGAAGCTGAAAAGAAGAAGGTGGCTGAGTAACCATCTTGCACTCAGTATGGCTGACAGCACTGTAGGGAGAAGCCACTAGCATCACAGGACTATACGTGGTGCTTGAGGCTGTAGTTCAGGAACAGAGGCGTTCCTTGTTGTAGAACCGAGAATTGCCCCTTATCAACATTTGGGGCAGTGGAGAGGAGAAATGGAGAGCCAAGATTAAGAGATCAGTTCCAACAGGATGTCTGCCAGCCCCATGATTTTTAAATAAAAAAGTAAAATGTTAACGCTGGCAAGCTGCAAAGCAGAAGGTTGCCCTCCTGTGACATCTTTATTTGGATACAAAAGAGCCCATTTGGTTTTGGAGGTAACTACCTTTTCTGCTTTGGTTTGCAGACAAGTACCTCCCCTTTTAGTTTGCCTTCTAGGACATGAGTGGCTTATGGCTTCCCCTCCTCACCATGGCAGCCACTTCTGAATGGGCAGGCCCCATCCCACAGCAGACATTTTGTGAGGATGCCTACAACTCTGAAAACCTCTCATGTGCTCACCAGCCCAAAAGGTGGGTAGCTTTAGGGTTAACCTTTGTAAAGAAACTTAGGAGCTGGCTAAAAGCTTGTGCGCTTCAGCCAGACAGATCCTCCCTGGCTTATCCCTGCCAGCTTTTATGAACCACTTAAAAACCGAGAACCTGGTTAGCTTTCACTGTGGTTAACATCAGAGCTGAGTAGGTACAGAAAGGCGGGAAGTGGGAAAGTATCCCCAGTCTACTGTAGATAGCTTAATCATATTTGAGAGACTTACGCCATTGCATCTGCATGAGCCCTGTATTTTGTTAAAGTCTCTCTGGTTCAGGACCGTCACAGATTTTCTGTTCTCTTTTATGGATTGTACCTGAGCATGCTTTAAGGAACAGATGAGGAACTGCTGCTGATCTGCAGAGCCCTTCTGTCCAGTACGCCAGCCAGCCCTGCTCCACCTACTGTGTCCAACTCCAGGGGGCACAGCGGAGGAGGATCATCTCCTGAATGCTGCTGGAGTCCCCCCACAAAAAAATCTCCCCACCTAACGGCCTAAGACAGCAATCAAGGTTCCTCCCCTAATTGCCAACCAGTGGGGGTGAATTTCATTTTAGGATGATTTTATGTAGGGAAGGGAGGGTCATGTTTTCCCTCTCCATGTGCATTAATCCAGAGAGACTCTTTCCCACTCCAAGCAAGACTCTCCTCCTCTCCTCTCCACTACACATGGCTGACATGTGTAAAATTTCACATGCTGTCCTTATCTATTTGCTGCATGTTCCCCTCTTCACCAGGAATGGCCACTGTGGCAGGTTTATTTAGTGCAATACGAAAAACTGCAGTGCGGTTGTGCAGGTTTGTGCACACGCGGCGTTATGAGACTGGGACGGCCACCCGCCTGCCCTTGAGCCTCTCCCTTCACTGGTTAAGAGGCAGAGAAGAAGGAACCTTTTCCAAGCAGCGCATAGGTGGTGGGGACGGGGAACACACAACCCTGCAGCCTGTTTGCAGAGGCACCAGCCAGCCCTGTGAGTGCCCCCAGGACACTGATGGTAAGAAATCACTGCAGAACACCTCCTTTATGAGAAATGCCTGACACCCCAGGCCGTGTGGGAGCGCCCCCAACTCAGCTCCTTCCTGCCCCCCTGCGCCCCCTCCTGTCGAGACAGTGATGCTGCAGGGGTCCTCCCCCACAGCTTAGGCTGCAGCGAGCCCTCCCCAGCCGCGTGGCCTGCAGATGTGTCGGGAGTGAGTGCTCATCCTCCCTCTTGCCAGTGCCGTGACTGGGGTGGCTGCGGCTGAGCAGGAGCTACTGTCCAAGACAAGTGGGGGCAGGTCTGGGGCAGCAGGAATGGCTCTCGCCTGAATGGAGTCCGGGAAGACACAACGCCCGCTCTGGCTGCAGGTCCTCCCACAGAGGCGAATGAAACAGGGCTCCCTGGCCCTCACCAGCTCTTCCAAATAGCAGCCGCTGCCCGGTGCCGCCGGATTACTGCCCCCAAACCGTGGCACTGCTGCGATCCGCGCACCACACGGACGAGCGCGAGCCTTACCATGTCTACCAGGGCGACGTAGAGGAACATGCCGGCTGTGATGGCAAAGATCCAGAGCGTGATGTTATTGGCGTACTGTCCCACGGCCGTTCCGATGAGCATGCCCACGTAGGCCATCATCGCCGAGAGGAGGTTGTAAACAATGGCCTGCTTCACCGTCATGCCTGCTTTCAGGAGCACGGCGAAGTCACCTGCAGGGAATGCAGAACGGTCACTGAGCAGCCTCCAAGAACCCTCGCCTAAAGAAACCCAGGGGCACGCGGAGTCACCTCAGACTGATAGGAGCAAAGCAGATTGGTAAATCGAGCCGTTTACATGCGCAATTTTATCTACTGTTGTAGAGGTGCTAAAAGTAATTCTTAAAAGTACTGTGATTTTTGTTCGTGTATGGCTGCATCTCCTGAGCTAAGTGCTTGCGAGCGGGTCCATGTTGCTGCTGACAGGGCAGGCTGAGCCGGGGGGGGGGGGTGTCCTGCTCCAGAAGTCAGTCAGTGGGCGAGTGGGGGGAGGCATGCTCCCCATTTCGCTTTTGAGGCACAGACTTGGCTGTTAAGACAGTACTATCCTGTCGTGCTTTTATTTATTTATTTATTTATTTATTTATTTTGGATGGGGTGCCCGTCTTTCATTTTTATGAATCTGGTGGCTTTGTTCCCCCCAGCAGAACAAATCTCCTAGATAAATGGGTGGCTAGCAATGCAGCTGCTGCCACAAGGGAAAACTACACCTGGAAGCATGGGTCAAAGGCAGAGCTGAGCTGCAGAGTAATGGCAAGAGGCAGAAATAAATGGAGGATGAAAATCAAAGAAGCAATTTAAAAGGGGCAAAGCGAGCTGACATCCTTTAAGTCCAGGACATGATCAATTGATCCCTTCCTGAGATCCCGTAAGCCTGCAGGAGTGAGAAAAGAGCCTCAATAAGGTAGCCTGTGTGGAAGTGCTCACGGCCGTGGAATGAACATTTTTTTAAAAACCTGACACAAGAAGCACAGCCCCATTCTCAACGCACTGAAGCTGGCAGAGAAGCCAGAGCTTCCTATGCTGCTAGCATAATGCTGCAGTACTAAGCCAGGACTGCTGAGGTTTAGTACTAAATTGCTCTTTGCATTAGAAATGGCCAGAAGTGCCCACGGTTTTTGGAGAGGGTCTACAGCATTTCTGGTATCGCCATCCGTGACTCTGGAATTCGCTAGCAGGTCTCAACCTCCATGTGGGCAGCACCTCAATGCCAGTCGCTGGCCCCTCTCTTCTGCTTAACTGTGTCCCTGCACTGGTCCTGTGCTAATGGGCAGCAAAGTATCTCCCCCGTCAGGTGCTCGTGTGTCGGGAAATACTACCCATGGTCAGGTTCTCACACTCCCAGCCCCCTACGTGTTCAGAGGTCGCAGATGCAGAAATGCTCGGTGCTGCTCCGTTCCCATTTGTAGTGGGTCTCGTTTGCCTTAGACCTCGGCGGGACTGGAAATGCTCAGAGGCCTAGGCCAGGTGGGCCACAGAGATGCAGCTGCGGGGGACTGCACGGCTGCATTCTCAACTGTTTGCCTGGCATTTCTGACTATGTGGTAATCACATCCATTAAGGCGGCAGCCTGTTATTCATAGCATGGAAGAGGAAAACATGTGCAGCTGACATCGCAGTGCTGATTACCCAATTCATGGGGAAGCTCGTGGCAAAATACTGCTATGGATGTGCTGATTCCTCCTGTCAAGCCAGCACTGAAAGCTGCTCCTGGGGGGAGAAACAAAGACAAAGGACAGTCATTTCAGCTCAGCTGTTTTAAAGCAAGCCATCACACAGATAGTAAAAGGGCGTTCTTTGTCCGAAGATTTCATACTGTAAACAGCAGGTGTCATCTGCTGAATGCCTTCCCCTTCAGGGCTCTGTCCTATGTTTCTGAAATAATTCATAACTCAATTTGGGAGAATCAGAACGTCCTTTAGAAGAGACATCCAGAAGGGCAGCTTTGGCCCTCTACTCCTCTGTCTGGAATTTATATTTATTCCACTTTGGCGTTACCCAGACTTCTGGTTTCCAAGTTCCTGGCTACCTTGGTTTCTGGCACAGAAACCAGAAGAAGTGCTCTCTTTTTGACCAAATGTTAAGATCCAGACTATGTAACTAGCAGCCTCCCCCATCACATACAGATATGGCTGAGAAGAGCAGCTGAGAGCAGCAAGCCTCTGCTCACCCCCAGAGTGAGGGATGAGCCCTCCAAAGGTTTTGGCCTGCAGCTCCCATCCATGCTGGCAAGCATGGCTCAAGGATGATGGGGGCTGTGCACCACCGGGAATGCTATGGGCTGCCCTCCTTCCATCTAAGCATTTCCATTTGGGGCAAGGAAGAGAAAGATACATTGGAAGTTGCCTGGAACACCAGGCTGGGTTGGGTAAAGCAGAATTTGTCATTCCCTGATAGAAGAATGGCCTGTGAACAACCAAGTGTGGAAGGTTCTACAAACTGAAAGAGGTGGCTTGGCATTCTGGTTTTTTCTATTTTGAACAGACCATCAACATGCCAGAAATCAATCAATCAATCAATCAATCAATCAATCTCTCTCTCTCTCTCTCTCTCTCTCTCTCTCACACACACACA